CAGGAAAGATGAAACTCATGTGGAATCATCCTCAGGTAGTGTAGATTCAAGTTTGTTCAAATCATGACCCCCGGGGCAAGGATGGGGCCATAATGGCCGACCCAATTTTTACATAGGAATATATAGGAAAAATCTTTTAAAATCTTCTTCTCCAGAACCACTGGGCCAGGAAAGATGAAACTCATGTGGAATCACCCTCAGGTAGTGTAGATTCAGGTTTGTTCAAATTATGACCCCCGGGGCCAAAATGGCCGACCCAAGTTTTACATAGGGATATATAGGGAAACCTTTTAAAATCTTCTTTTCAAGTACTTCAAAGCTATGAATAGTTATATTTATATGGAATCATCCTCAGGTAGTGTAAATTCTTGTTTGTTCAAATGATGAATGCCTGGAGGGGGGGGGAGTAAATTCAAGCCTGATGTGCTCAGGTGAGCGCTGTTGCCCTTGGGCCTCTTGTTCGTTTAATTGCAGATGTTTGCAATTCAGTCATTTGTCAGAAAAAGTTATTTTTTGTTATTTAGTTCTAAATACTATCCTGATTATATTGATCAAAGGCAAAATTACCTTACGTGTCAGAAGAACGTCATTTCCCTCCAGTTTTCTGACAATTGTGTCCGTCTTTCTGTGTCCCACTGCAAATGCTAATCTCTACTTAAGGCCAGATGATAAAACAAACTTTTTTCAAGAATTTTAAAATAACAACTTGGGTCACGTTCAAATGAATAAAATAAATAACTTTCACCGCGTAGTTTTTAATTTTTTATTCAAGTTTGGACAAAAATAAAATTTAAAGTGAAAGATATTTGTATAGATTAATAAGGATGGATTCAGAGGAGCAGACTTTTGAACATCACAGAAGGTTTATAATTTCTTGATATTCTATAAATTTATTTTTTCCATCATTTGCAATGAAATTAAGCCAAAAAATATATACCAATCCAGGCATCCATATTTTTGTTTTTATCAACTGTCCTTAATTAACTTCAATTATTTTGAGAGAAAAATAGATAATGAAGCCAACAGCATTCTCAATTACGATTTCTGATTTGAAATTAAAAAAAATGCTTTCCAAGGTAACAATAGCTGAATATGTCTTTTTAATTCATTCAAAATGCTTCCTCTGGTAGTTTTTTGTTCTATTACGATTCTTTTTACAGGTAAACATTATAACATTTAATGGCCTGCCGTGGTTGGTAATTAATCATATATCCGGGTAAATGATAAGACTATTAAAACATCAAAATACATTTTACGACATGTATTTCTATCTTGTTGCCTTTTAACAAAGTTTAAAGCGTAGACTAAAGTTTTAAAATATCCATTTCCCGAGCTTGCCATTGGAATCAGACGGGGTCCTTCTTATACCAAGGGGAGTTGTTCTGTAAAATTTCTCTCGTAGAAGAAAATTCTACGGACAGAAAAACGGACGGAAAAACAGCTAAACGGGTGCGTAGACAGACAGACCAAAATATATAACATCATTTTTTTGTGAAAGCGGAGGACAATAAAAGTGAGTAAAGTCATTTATTGGGATCAGTGTTGTTTCTTGCAATCGCAATCATAGTTTTTTGACTGGTTCAATCTAATTGATATTAGATCTTTGATCCGCTACACAAAGTACTGATCTAACTGGAGCTTATTATTTTTATTAGATTGAGACTGGCCATACTTACGATACTTTTGAAACAAGAATGTCCACCCCCTGACAACTTTCTTCCTTTTCACCAACTTTTCATTAAGGTGGCATCTCATCAGTTTACACAATTGAAAATTGGTCTTGTACACGATTCCATCACATTTGGATTTTTGCTTAAAGCTTTGCAAAGCACATTAGGTTTGGCTAATTTGTTCAAAAGAGCAAGTGAAGTAAAGGTCATGTACCGCTAATAAGTTTTCAAAAGGAAAATCATTTATCAATCGAAAATCATGCAGTGTAGAAATGCATCCTTTCGATAAATTCACAAATTCTTATGAATTGTCTCACAGATTGAGCATTATGCTCAGATTACATGTATCATCGAAAACTGATTAAAGAGCACAAATTAAAAAAAAAAAGAATTTCAACTTTATAATTAACTTTTTTTTTTCAATCATCTACATGTGTTTTTAATTCATCACTGCAAAAATAGGTAGAAAACCATTTAATCTGGCCATTTAGAACTTTGTTACAGACAATTAAAATCTCCTATTAACATAAAATCTCCATGGTGTCCGAATAAGGCCATTTGAAAAAGCTCAACAACGAGTTCAGAAACAAACACGCCGTTGCACGAACACACAACGCGCTGTTACGCTAACAAGGGTTTGTACAACACGCCGTCGCGCTAACAAACAACTCGTGACAGCGTTTTTTTTTGTGTTTTGCGACGGTGTGTTGCTTGATAGCGTGTTTTGCGAAGTCGTGTTAACGTGAAGGCGCGTTATATGTAAGCGCGACGGCGTGTTTTCATAAACGCATTGCTGAGCTTTTGTGAAAGGTCCTGTCCGGACACCATAAATCTGGGAAATTTCAATTCATTAGAAAATGAAAATATTTGATGAGATGACTTAATGATTTAATGAGCTGTTATTGATGTATTTATTAAATTTATTCCTATTTGGTGTCACTTTGTGCCAGAGATAATTTGATTGGAAATGATTATGTGATAATTAATTTTTTAAAAAGTTGAAATAGCTAACACTACTTAGTCAGAAACGTATTGGCTTTTCCATTTTTTTTTAGTTACGAACATAATTACTGACCATGTGCTGTCTTTCCTGTAAAACTTAGACAATCACTGACATTTTTTTTTATAACAACCATAAAATAATAACTTTGGTCATTTTTCAACGACAAAAATGACCCCCACTCGTACAAAAGTCATATTTGTAGGCAAAAGACCCCAAGCGGTCATTATTTCATATGTAAGTCCTATAAACAATTGACCCCATTGAAAAATGATCCCCTTTATAGTGATATAAATTTTTAGAAAAAAATAAATTGATGCAAAGCATCAAATTGGCCCTCAAATATATCGTTTTAGCATTTTATAGAATTTTGGAATAAATCCTTTGGAATTTTTTAGAAAAAAAAATACCTGTACTATGCATGATACAAAATATTAGTTGAAGCTTTGTTTACTTTATTTCCCCAAGTTTTAAGAGAAATTGAGAAAATTAATATCCTGTGTTATGGATTTTGAATAATTAGATAAAGAAAAATGTTTTTGTCATTATCTTTTACAAATTCAAGCTAAGACATATGTATATTTTTTCATAACATATTTTAGAATCATCAGCTTTTGTTACACAGATAATTTTTAAACCATATTGAGAAAGGTAGGTGAAGGTCTTGACATCGGTCTTAAAATACCTAGTGGTTGAAAGTGTTCTTTAAAACAAGGACAAGATGTAACCATTATTAAAATAAAGTTCACTATTGGAATAAATACGTGCATGTCAATAGTTGTTGAAAGGGGAATTCAAAACCAAATACACGTTGCAATCATTATCAAAATAACGTTTACTATTTAAACAATTATTTCAATAAATGGTTAAATGCAGTTCAGAGTCTAGACTATAAACTAAGAATTGATTAAAGTCAAAATTATTATTTTGAATAACTTGTGATTAATAATACAAAAATATTAAACATTTGTAGGTTTGCAGAATATTCCAATTTAAATATGTGATAAAAAAATTTGTGTTGTTATCAAACTTATTTCAAAGTTATTTAGATTTTAAATTTTGACTTAAGTCTGTTCTCAGTTTATGGTCTTGGGACCAGGATTTTATTGAAATGTTCCCTACTGAAAAATAGAATTCAATAGTGACTGTAAGAAAGATTTCAATAGTGATGAAAATGACGATTTAAACATTGATCAATATCATTCTTACAACTCATGAAGTTTATCAGCAAATATATTGAAGCAAAATATAAAAAAAAAAAATAATTGAGGATTATTCCTTTTTGCTGTACATGCACATATATTATACCTGAAATATTATCCACCTTTTTTAAGTCACCTAATAAAGAATCGTCTTCATAATATGTTCCTTCAATACACTATAATTTGACCTTTCAGCGTCAGACGTAAAGAATACCACACATAATTTTCAAAACAGAAATCACGGATGTGACGTGAACACGTTTTTATAAGGATGCATCTTGAGTTTAGATTTAAAAAAATGATCTAAGAAAAAATGTAGAACATTTCAATATGGAAGCCTTAATTGAATAATAAGAATTATACAAATGATTTTTATCCTGATAATTTAATATTTAATTAATATAGTTATTAATAGCAGATGCTGACTTATGAGAGAATATATCCTTTGTTCTTCTTAATGTGATATTAATTGCGTCTTAAATAAAAGTTTTAATTTGATATGTAAATCTAATGCTTAAGGAATTCTTTATTGCATGAAAAAAAGTTGAAATGGTCTCTTTCATTGGGGATTTAAAAAAAGTTTCTTTTTTACGTTCTATAAGATAATAACACACTGTATCTGTAATATAGAATGAAAACACTAATTATTTGTTCTGGTAGAATAACAAAACAAAGTAGGAAAAAGCAAGCTTCAATTAATAACTATTGATTTACAGAAAAAAATATAATTTATTATTATTCAAAGATAAGGAATCGCTCTCGCTATCAATCGTAATCTCTCTCTCTCTCTCTCTCTCTCTCTCTCTCTCTCTCTCTCTCTCTCTCTCATCTGTAAAAATGTTTCCTGTAATTCCTTTATAATATTTTTATCACTTTCCATTAAAGACTATTTACTTAAACGAAACTTAGTTTTGACCCCTAATAATTAATGAGTTAGTACATAAACCTCTTAACAACTAGCAATTTGCAAATACTTTTTATGATATATTCTGATATTTCAAGAAGAACTAAAACAATTTATATCCTCATTAATGTGTTAAAAACCATTTGATTTCATTTTCAATATATATAAGAAATACAAAGAACAATCTTGATTGCAAATGCAATCAGAGTAAAAAAAGCATATAGTCAAGTGACACGTTATTATTCCATATTCTATTACTTATGTCAATATTGAAAACAGAGCTTAAAATAAATGGAAATGAAACCTTAATTCTAAGATAAAACAAAGAGTAAATCTATGACCCAAATTCACGTATCTGTTTTAAGCCTTTCATACAAAGAGGGTTGGCTTAGTTGTCCAAGTTCCTGGTACATTTCCTTGTGTTCCACTCTGTCCACTTTTTCATAAATGGCGGGCCGATTCAATTCTCCAAGTTCTTGATAGCCTACGTTATCTTCCACCATTTCATTCACGGATCTGTTTTCAACATTCCTTGATTTTTGGTGTTTCTTTTTCTTCTCTGAAGATTTTTCGGCTTTTCTGACATTTCTTCAACATAAATATTTGAACACTTAACCCGTTAAATCATTTTTGACATGTATCAAATAAGATTTTTTTGTTTTAAAAAAAAATTCAATTTTATATTTCAGTGAAATTAAACGAATAATACATAATGAAAGGATTAAAACTCACCGCACGATAAAAAATATGTTGAGAAAAATGCTTAGAAATAGAATGGTGGTAACACCGTAGAATGCTGGGGAAAAGACTGTGTTTGTTTTGCTTTTGATCGCCTGGTTGCTTGCTAAAAAAGAAAAAGGAAGATAAATTGGCAAAACTAATCAGCAGATTTGCAGTTTTGTGGCACCCTCCTTTTTTCTGTAAAAAAAAATTGTGTTTGCTTATTCAGTACTTGCTTCAGAATGAATACATGTATAAATGATAACCGGTACAGTGGTAGGGGGAGTGAGAGACCAAACAAAAATCATTGGTTTACTATCAAAAAAGGTAGAATTGATGTACACATTTCATCTTATTTGAGCTTTTTAAATAAAAAATATTCATTTGAGTATCACAACACTGAAATATAGACATACTCAAATATAATTAGAAGGAAAAGCAAACCACTAGGCCTAAATCTTAGACACAAAAACCGTTGATATCCGCAGAATATTTTATCATTAAAAAAAAATTCATCTGTCTGTCCCGATGATAGATTTTTTTGTGTTTTCTCTATAATTCATTTAATTCCAATCATGATTTAATGCTTACACGTATAAATCATCGAATAAATTCATTACAATTTAAAAGCCGAACTCAACGTTTTAGAAATATTAATGTATATAAGACTTTTAAGAAGATCCATAAATGATAATAATAATAATAATAATAATAATAATAATGTTTATAGTTTGATTAATAAATCCATTCAAGACTTTGGAGACGTTCAACAAAATAAATACTTTTCGAGTCCAAAAAAAAAATTGTGAAAAACAAAGGTTTAATATTTCACAGAAGAAATAAGAGCGGTTATAGCCTAGTGGTTAAGGCGATGATCCCAGAATCGGAAGGTTATGAGTTCGCGCCTTGCTTGTGGCGATTTTTTATGCACCCGGATCGATAGATCCGAGGCGTATATTGTTTTTGTCCTGTCTGTTTGTCTGTCTGTCTGTTGTCAACTTTAACCTTCGCCATAACTTTTGAACCATGACAGATAGAGACTTCATCTATGGTATGCATACTCAACCAATAAAGCTCTTTAAAATGGCACCAAGATAAATGACCTTGTGACCTTGACTGTTACTTTTATGCTAAAAATAGCTCTTTTGAACTTTCGCCATAACTTTGGAACCATGAGAGATAGAGACTTCAAAAATGGTATGCGTATAAAGGTCACAGTCAGGGTCACAAGGTCATCGACCTTGGTGCCATTTGCAAGACCTTTATTGGTCAAATAAAGCTCTTGCAAATGGCACCAAGGTCGATGACCTTGACTGTGATCTATATGCTAAAAATAGCTTTTTAGACTTTATGCCATAACTTTTGAACCATGAGAGATAGAGACTTCATATTTGGTATGCATACTCGACCAAGAAAGCTCCTGCAAATGTCACTAAGGCCGATGATTTTGTTACTTTGACCTATATGCTAAAAATTGTTTTTTAGACTTTTTGCTATAACTTTTGAACCACGAGAGATAGAGACTTCATATTTGGTATGCATACCCCACTAATGAAGTTCTTTCAAATGAATATAAGGTCGATGACTTTTTGACCTTGACTGTGACTTATCTGCAAAAAATATTATTTTGAACTTTGTTACCGCCGGGTGCATAGTGTTTCACAAACACATTTTTTTTTTTATTTTGAATTCGTTCTTTTTCCTTATTTTTACCAAATCAAGATATGTGTGAACTCGACATTTATATTTTGTGATAAAATTTCACTATAAAAATAATTTTTCACCCATAAAAACAGTATTATCGACTGCGTAATGGTGGCTTAATGGTGGCTTAATGGTAGCTTAATGGAGTTTGGACATTAAGCACCTGTAAGTGTAGCTTAATGGTAGCTTAATCGTGACTTAAATAATAATAATAATAATAAAACTTTATTTAAAGAAGGTAACCTGATTAGTGCAACCACTATTCTTCCCAGGGCCTTCTGACAATTAACAATATGAAGATATATAGTTATACACACACAGACATATTATAAATATATACATAAATATACAAATACAAATAAACATGAATCACAAATTAATCTGATATTGTTTTACATATTGTTTTACTTGTCTCTTGAAAGTATTAAGTGTTGGTGACATTTTTATGTGCACCGTTAAAGCGTTCCATAAAATGGCACCAGAGTGCTGGAAGGAATTTTCAAAAAGTTTACATTTATGAATTGGCACACACAAAACAACATTAGATTCAGATCGAAGAGTACATTGGTTATTAGTTTGAAATTGAAACATTTCATGTAAATAAGTAGGACAGTAATTAAAGAGGAATTTATATAACAATACATATTTATTTAGAGTAAGCAGTAAGCCAATCAAGTTTATCAAAAAGGGGTCGTGAGGGTGCATCAGGGGGCGCATCTAAAATATACCTTGCAGCACGTTTTTGAAGTTTATGAACTCTGTCAAGATTTGATCTGGATGTATTTCCCCAAATTGTTAGGCAGTAATCAATGGTAGGCATGATGTAAGCATTATAAAACAACTTGCGTGTTTGAAAGGGAAGATATTTTTTAATTCTACGGAGTGCAGAAATTTTACGTGACAGAGTTTTACATACATGGTCGATATGTACATTGTATTGTAAAGAATTATCTAAATATACCCCAAGAATTTTTTTCATATGTTACATTGACTAATTTCTGGTTCGAAACGTATAAAGGAAAATCATGGTCTAAGAATTTTGATCTCTTCTGATGAGTCCCTATTAACATGCATTTAGTTTTTGAGGCATTAAGTATCATTTGATTTTGAAAGCACCATTTTTCTATACAAGCAATATCCATTGATAATGAATTTACAATAGATTGGGGATCTTTGCCGGGGACATGTAAAGTGGCATTATCGGTAAACAAATCTATGTTTGAATTTTTGATATAAAGTGGAAGATCATTATTGTACAGTAAAAACAAAAGAGGTCCTAGTATAGACCCCTGTGGAACTCCCGCTGTGACTTGCTGATAAGATGATTTTTTGTTAGACAGATGGACACTATGAAGTCTGTCACTTAAATATGATCGAAACCAGTTTAAAGTTATTTCATTAAAATTATTACACTCTAGCTTTTTAAGAAGAATTTCATGATTTACTAAGTCAAAAGCCTTACTGAAGTCGAGAAAGACAGTACCAACAAGTTTGCCTTGGTCCATTTCATATAACCATTTATCTGTAATGTTTGTAAGGGCTGTTTGACATGAGTGCAATTCTCTGAAACCTGATTGAGATTCTATTAAAAGATCAAATTCTGAAAATAGTAATCGTACATTTTTTGCCACATGTTTTTCTATAATTTTTGATAATGTCGGTAAAATAGAAATGGGTCTGTAGTTATTTGGATCTAGCTTGTTTCCCTTTTTATAGATAGGTGTAACTTTGGCAAGTTTAAAACTTTACGGGAAAATACCTGATGTGATACTAGTATTTATTATATGGGTCACAGATTTATGTATTACTTGTGCAGTAAGTTTTAATAAACGTGAACCGATGGTATCTACACCTGTTGATTTATTAACATCTAGTTTGTTTGGTAAGGAAAGCACTTCATTAGGGCTAATAAACGGGATAGAAAACGTTTCTGTTCCCAATTTAGACTGTATAGAATTTAAAAAGCCATCGAAATCACACTCTTCTTTATTTACTCCTTCAAGGAGTTTAGCAGAGACAGTTGAGAAATGAGAATTAAATATCTCTGCAATTTCTTGTGTATCCTCTGTTACATTATTATTTTGTTCAAGTGCCGTCGGACTTTAACTTTTTGGGGTAGAAGCTAATTTGTTTAATGCATCCCACATCTGGCGTGGATTTTTGTTTTGCTCTACAGTTGATTTATAATAATTAATTTTTGCATTTTCAATTAGTGACGATACTTTATTTCGCCATAATCTGTAGTTTTCAAAGTCCTTAATTTTATGAAAATTATTGCGCTTGTGCTGTGCTTCAAGAATTTCTTGGGTTAACCATTTTGGTTTTGCATCATACTTCACTCTTTTAGATTCTATGTTTGCATGTTTGTCTAGTACATCATTAAAAAGCGAATAAAATTTATTTAATGCATCATTAGGATTAGAGAGTGAATATAAGATTTGAAAATTAACTTTTTTCAAGTCTGATAGAAAGTTTATTTCATTAAACTTTTTGAAGTCTCTGTATGTTATCTCCGTGTGTTTGTGCTTCTTTACATAATCATGTAATTTTCTTGTAAAACAAATAGGATAGTGGTCAGAGATTGCAATTGGCGGTACTACAGATTCACATATGTTCTCAGGTAGGTTAGTATATACATGATCAATAAGGGTTGAGGAGACATCTGTTATTCCCGTGGGTACATTTATTATCTGTGAGAAGTCACCATATTCTTCAAAAGCAGAGGTCCAGTATCTTGGGGAGTCTTTCATCAGGTCAATATCATAATCACCTGTTAAAATAATTTCACCATCATCACAGCGGGATGCACAATTTATCTCCCGTGTTAGACTTTCTACCCAGCAGGTGGTGGCAGATGGGGGCCTATATGCAGTACAATAAAAAATTGGTTTTGAATTTGGGATGTTAATTTCAAGCCATATTGTTTCTATGCCACCTATTTCAAAATCATTGCGACGTTTGTAATACAAATTATTTGAGATATACACAATTATTCCTTCTCCCGATTTCCCTAATCTATATCTTCTCTCAAAATTAAATCCATCGACATCTAACTCACAATTGTCCGTCTTTTCATTTAAAAAAGTTTCACATACACCAAATACATCAATAAAATAATAACCTGATAAAAGAAGCTTAAGCTGGTCAATTTTAGGCAAGATGTGACATATATTTAGATTCCCGAATCTAAGACCTTTTTTGATGAGTCCAAAATTAAATGAATTTGAATTTGAATTTTTCTTCTGTGGTTCCTCATTGATTTCAGGATTTAGTAAGTTAGAATTTTTCTTTGATGAACTGGTAGTTTGGGATGTACATTTATGAATTTTCCTAGGAGATACATTTTTTAAAGAACAATTCACATCATTTTCATTATTAGAACGTGTATAAGCTTTATCTTGACCGGAACTGAGTAATAAATTAGTATTGTGTGAATTACAGAGGTATGAGCATTTGCATGATATTTCATCACATTCACCACAAAGATTATCCAAAACACTAAAGGGGTTTGATTTCAAGAGGAATGGTTTTTCGGCAATTTCCTCTTTGCCGAATTCCTAATAGGAACAGTGTTTTGCCTTATGTCCGGAAGAGTTGCAGTTCCAGCAAAGAATTTTACATCCATGCCTACAATTCCGTGAAGAATGACCATTTTCACCGCAAAAATGACACATATTCACATTACCAGTCGCATTTTGTGTATCATTCTGATGGCGGGCTTTGATGACCGGAATGTGCGCATTATAGGATTTCAGTAGTGTAGATGTTCCCTTGTCGGATAAATGAATCCCATCCTTCCAAAACATACCTGATGTCTTGAACTTATCTTGTAGAGAAATCATGTTGACACTGTATTCCTCACAGACAAATCTTATCATTTCATTCATGTGGGTAACATCAGCATCTCGTCGTGGTGGTATTTCTGATATGAATTTTTCGGTATGCGGGGACCTCCTCTGGATTTCTTGCACAATTTCACTGAGATGACATTCACTGGTCTCCAATTCCCTGCCCTTGGCAGCATCAGTACCCCCGGCAAGTAGGATTATTGACCCGAAGGACGATACGTCGGTTTCCTGGAGAATTCTCCTGATGTTTGACAGCTGAGCACCTCTGTTTGTTCGGACAGCAACATGTCTCAATAAGCCACGTGTTCTAATTCGTTGGAGGATAGAATCACCAATTATCAACACTGACTTTCCAGATGGAACGTCTGACTCCAGTCGTTGGTTCTTGCTGGGTTTATTGTGAATTATTTGGCTACTCTGATCAGTTTCAGGGGATGTTGAAGAATCTGTTGTCTCCACTTTAGAACACTGTGTGTGTCTGGTTACACCTTGCGATTTGGAATCCTTTAGGTCCCTTGTGTCAATCGCCTTAGCTTTTGTAACCGGTTCCCTTGTTTGGGTAGTTGCGTCTACAGAATTTGTATTTTTAACCTATAGAGATTGCAGCTCCAGTTTAAGTCTAACACCATCTTCGGAGAGATCTGACACAGTCTTTGTTAGTTTTTGAATAACATCAAAACTATTGCAATTTAGACATGGCCGAGCTTCGCTTTCTTGCGATTTGCAATGTTTAGGTGTTTTGAAGAAACTCGTATTTTCATTCAAATTGATTGACTCCATTATTAATTATATCCAGAAGTACAGGTAATTACTGATAAGGAGGAGCATTGTAAAACACGTCTGGTCACCTCGAGATCTTATCTTATGATCATGGTGGTCTAAAAGCTACCATTAAGAACCTTTCAGCCACCATTAAGCTACCATTAAGCTACATTTAAGCACCCATTAAGGACTTTGAAATTGCTAAATGGTAACTTAATGGTGGTGTAAATGTTACTTAAAGGTGCTTAATGGTGACTTAAAGACAACCATTAAACCACCATTAAGGACCTATAAGCCACAATTAAACCAGGCTTAAAGGATGTTTTTCATCTTGTGCTTGAAGAACTTCATACTGGGTAGTATTAGTCACATGCAGCTCATAACAGATATGCATGTAATTTTCAATCATGTTTAGAGTCAATAATTCTAAAGAATGTAAATTATCTTTACATAAATAGATGAAAAAAATGTTTCTTTTTAAAAAGGGGACAAGAAATTAAAAAAAAAAATATCTGAATGGGGTAAAAGTGTTTTCGGTTGAATTTAAAAAGACAAATATGACAAAAGAATGAATACATTAACTACAATTTATTATTTTTTGCATGATGTATCATATCACGCCATACAGATCTAGACAAGGTATCCAATGTATAATTTACTATCTTATACTGCCCCTTTAGGAACACTTCAAATATACCGGTCCCTGTAAATATAGCGCTAAAAAGGGTGCCACCGAAAGCGGTGTACAATACATAAACGATTGCTTGAGCGATCGACAAATTCTAGAAATCTAGAAAGTAGCCACAAATTGCAAAATTGACCCCAAATTCGCGTTCCTTGTTAAAAAATGGGGTTGAGAAAATGATTTTTAAAATAGTTTTTTTAAAATGAGAATTAAAAGATTTCGTAAAATAACATACTTGTTTAGGGAGTAAAACTCCATCTTGTGTTGTTTAGGAATGTAATCACATGATCATTGTTTTACATAATCTCATAAATATTCATGCATCACTTGTATTTTGACGTAATGGAGAAATATCTGATACATGTAGGACTTAAAGTGGAATGATAATTTTGTGAATGTTAGCTAATTACTAGTCATTGATGGATCGAATTGTGCATCATCATTGATTTGAAAGGAAAAAAAATATTCTGAATATAAACACTGGACTTTCACGAGAAGCGCTGACTTTTACAGTTGACGAATTACTCTCACACTAGAACAGTGTATGGAAGCTCTTTTGCGATGTAAAAATTTAGCTCAACATCTAATTCAACGAGAATAACGGGCTTTTTCAATTAACTTGTCATTGAAGAAAACGACAACCATCCTACCCTCAAATCCTGTCCTTCTCATACAAGTGCCCTTAACACCATTACTATGACCAATAGAAAGGATTTCTTTTCTATTATCATTTCTGTACCTTCGTAGATGTGAATGTTTAAATGTCCAAGTAAACAGTCAACTCTAAAAGTCAGTGTTTCTCGTAAAAATTCACTAGGAGGTCAGCATAATGAGCTGCAGTAAACGGTAAATCGAATTGATAATTACTTGCTTAAACTTAGCACACAAAATCGGTCATTTTTCGACACAAGACCTTGATTGATTAATCCGAATTTTCGTTCATAAATCATGATTATTTGAAATTTCTGGATTTAATAAAGAATAAACTATATAGTTTGCTTTCTTGAAGTGTATATGGACAAGAAAATGCAAAAATCTTATTTAATGAGTATGTCTGTTTTAAGTTTGTACATGTTTATTGTCATATTATCTGTTGAAATATATTTAAACACTTTATTTACATTAAAGTACCGATAATTGTGTTTTAATCATATCGACGATGTATTGTCAATTAATAATGGTAATTTCAATTCCTACGTCGATAAAATATATCCTGGTGATAAAAGATACCAAAGAGTCTGACAATTCTGTCTCATACTTGAATATTTTACTTGAAACAGACATTAATGGTAATCTAACAACCAAGCAATATGATAAACATGATGACTTTAACTTTTCTATCGTCAACTTCCCTTGCTTATGCAGCAATATACCTTCATCACCAGTATACGGAGAATATATATCTCAATTGATTCCATACGCAACAGGATGCTCTCTAGAAACAATTTCTGAAACGAGGTAGATTATTGACAAGCAAGTTGATGAAACAAGAATATCAGCAGTCTCGTTTAAAGTCATCATTTTGTAAGTTCAATGGTCGATACAATGACCTTGTCAGCAAATATAATTAACCATTGAGTCAAATACTGACTGACGTTTTTCATACCAGTTGTTAGTCCATTATTTAAGACTGAATTGACGACGGATTTTTCCACTATTTCCTAATCATGACAAGGAGCACACGGCGGTGTGACTGGTGGGCAGGGGATGCTCATTCCTCCATTGCACCTGATTCCACTTCTGATGTCTCGGGAGTCCGTGTTTGCTCTGCTTATATTTTGTATTGTTTTATGGACTTTGAGATTGAATACTGTTCGTTATCTCTATATCCTTCTTGTGTCAAAAATCTATTTATAATCATGGCAATTAAACATATTGAAACCAAAGAGTAATTTTCTTATTCAAATTAAGTTAAGAAAAGTAATGAACAAAACATGAATCATATGACATACTACAAGATAATTATAATTATATCATATACAGGTATTACTTAAGGAATGTAATCCGCGATTTTGTGAATGGTGCATAATAACCTCCGAGGCCGAGAAATGCTGTTTGAAAGATAAAAGCCCAGGCGTTAGACGATGCTTTTATATTTCAAACAACATTCCTCGACCTTGGAGGTTATCCTGCATCATTCCCGACAACAAGGACTTTATTTCTATTCTGCCATGTCTACTCAGATCGCTAAATTACAGCTGATGGTTTCCTCTAGAGAGAAACGAATCAGGTCAACATGTCACGATTACGCTGTGCCATTTAACACCAGAGGGGAAATGTGTTTGCTTACCTGTGTATGGAATGCAGACGATTTTAGCTTTCGATGCATTAAAATTGCCTTTTTAAATTACAAATTTGTTCGCAAAATGTATTAATAAAAATACAATTATAACAAAATCAAGTTGTCTAAATGTGTAGGGAGGTCCGTGGAATAGCCCGCTTAGCTATAAAAAACCGCTTATCATCAGCAACTTTATGCAATTTACAGTGGTTAAACTGCAAAAGACGACACATCGATGTAGACTTATCAGGTATTTCATTCTACAGCAAAACATGCATTTGAATTGTTCAGGTTTGATACGAGTATCTGATCTGATAATTTTTTGATGAAATTCGTGATTTATTGGACAATTTTGTCCATGGCATTTCATTGATCTTTGCAATAATCGTGATAGAATTAATGATAATGTACAGTTGAAAACATGGCACACCAAAAATGTCATTAATATTTTGTTTTAATTTCTATAATAGCCTAAATTTTGTAAAAATATCAACCTTTTTCTGCATAAATTAAATGATTTAATGAAACAACTGAATAATGTAATATATTATACTTTTGTTTCTTATTTTAATTATACATATAAGGATAATTCAAAATTGATGAACGTACCAATATTGCATCTCTTATCAGGTGTATTTTTCCATCCTTTCTCACAGTATCCGTTTGGACAGGAACCATTCACGTGATCACATTTTGAGTGTTTTGCACAATTTCCACAGGGAACTGAACAGTTCTTTCCATAATAATAGTCGTTGCATGCTAAAGATAGTAATAATATACTAATTTATGTATGTTTGTACACTGTACATGTAACAGCGTATAGAAATCACACATACAGTCCCTGAAACGTTCTACTTTCCCACCTGAACGGTGAACGAACGCTGAACGAACGGTGAACGAACGCAGAGCGAACGGTGAGTGAACGATGTGTGAACGGTGAACGTAACTTGGTGAACGATGTGTGAACGGTGAACGCAGAACGCGAACGGAGCGCGAACGCGAGCGCAAAGTGAACGGTGAACGAACGGTGAACGCAAGGTGAACGATTTATTCGGAATGCCTTTGGTCTTTTCCTTGCTTTGAAATTATTCTTTTATTCTATAATTCAAATATATAAATAAATATAAATAAACAATAGATAAACAAAAGAGAAATAAATAGATAAATAAATAAATAATAAAAATAAAATTCAGCACATACGTATGTTTAAATCGATATTTTTATAACATGATTTTAGTCGCCGTCAAACGTGTATTTGTTACCGCGTGTAGTTAAAAAATAAATTAATCTTATATAGTAAATAATTATGCTAATTCTTTTAACTAATAAAATAATGTGAACTTAAGAAGATGAAACTACTGCTGAGATAAAAAATAGATAAATAAATAAATAAATAAATAAATTAATTAATTCATCAATAAATAAATAAATAAAAAAAAATTTCTGCACATACCTATGTTTAAATCAATATTTTAATAACATGATTTTAATCGCCGTTAAACGTGTATTTGTTACCGCGTGTAGTTTAAAAATAATTTAATCTACTGATACATGTATAGTAAATAATTATGCTTATTCTTTTCACTTATAAAATAATGTGTACTTCTGAAGAATGAATTAATTACATTGTACGGGGTTGGATCAACCGTACATGTATTTCCGTGCCAAAGCGATTCTGAGTAAAATAACGGATTTTTTTTAAAATTCACAATTATCTGTTGACATTGACTGCTTTCGTACTGCATAAAAATTCTCGTTTTATTTAGATTCTAATGCAAAATATTCTATATTTATGTGCCTTTTTATTCTAGTTTTATGACGATTATTTTTTGCTAACTTCTTCATGTATCTGTAGACATTTCCCGGCCGTGATTATACTCGGTCAAGATGTTGAAAAGAGGCATTCAAATTATTTGTAATACATGTGTAGATAAAATTTTCAAAACTAAATAAGTAATGTGTTGTCATAATTTTTATTGAACAGAGAAATGTACGAGAGAGAGAGAGATAACTCCCTCGATTCTCAGATATATATTGTATCAAATAAAAATTCTTATTATTTTTCCTAAATATTCCAAGCAATAAAGGTAATCTTTTTTTTCAGATTAATAAATCCATTTGACAGTAATCATTGGCTTTTATTTTCCATTATCCAGTTCACACAGCTCACAGGAAGTCCGTGCTACAGTTGTTGTAGCGTGCTTGTGCTGTCAATCAAAATAATTCGACACAGCGGAGTTGTGGAAATCGCGTTTCACCGATCATGCCGAGGGCAAAGAATCACTTAGTATTCCAAGAAATTTTAATATTTTTCCCTATCATTTCTAGATCTGATTTTTGCATTTCTGCAGAAAAAAAAAATTCGAATATATACTTGGAAGGATTAAGTTTCAAACTGAATGTGAAACATATTCCCTGCCAATTTAAAATATTTCTGTCGGCACAAGTTTTTACTAAAATATTATTGTTTAATGACTGTTTGATGTTGGTTTTAAGACTGATTTTCTTGTGTTACAATAAAAATTAAATATAAATTAAAATATACTATAAAAACTCAATAAGAATTTTATTTCGGGAGAAAAAGGCACTGGGGGGGGGGGTTCTTAATTATACTGAATGGCAAAAAACGTATTTTTAAAAATATGTTTAAGTACGGTGAAGGAAGGAATTTTCCTTCTCTAATAGTAGACTATTTTAAACAGTTGGTCTTCTCTAAAATTTAAAACCACAACATCAATTTAATTATCTCTAAAGATATTTAATTAACTGAATATTTGCAGTAATGTTCATAATTCTCAAACCTACATGTAGTTTAAATACGTGTTACTGTAGAAATATTTTTTTTATGTATTCTTGTTCTGTAAAAGACTTGGATTAATTATTATACACCCATTAATCATTTGTCCTCTTTAAAATTAAATCAAATTGATGCCGTGCGTGAAACATTTGTACATTGCCCTTTTTTGACGTTAATATTTTAGTATCGTTCTACATTCATGTAGGTACTTAATGTATTAATTATTTTCAACGGAAAATTCATGAAATAAGTAACAGCTGAGTTGTAATAATAGAAATATAAATATCATAGATAATTTTTGCAATTAAATAATTATTCTTCAAACACGATATCTATGTTATTTAATTAAAAAACATGTAAATCCTTACCATCTAAAAGATAAGTCCTTTCACTTCGGAGTTCCGAATGACAATGAAGACTGAACGATAAGTGAACGGTGAACGCAAGGTGAACGCAAAGTAAACGGAACGAAAAGCGAACGGTGAACGGTGAACGCGAGCGCACGGTGAACGGTGAACGCAATACTGTGAACGAAGAGCGAACGGTGAACGCACGCTGAACGAACGGTGAACGAACGGTGAGCGAACGGTGAACGAACGGTGAGCGAACGGAAAAATGGGAAAGTAGAACGTTTCAGGGACTGTAATGGATGTTGCTGAACAATCTTCAATTTTTAAGACGCTCTGCTTACTGAAAAAAATGGTGTTTTACTTTAAAGGAAGAAAGAGTTCATTTTTTTAATATCAGATATGAAGTTTGAAAATTGATGTTGTATTTTCTAAGATGAAATAAAAAAAAATAAAGATTGTTTGAATAAATCCATTCATCATTCAAAATATATCTATTATACATCTACAATTATAGATATTTCACACACAGGGAAACTCATACTCGTAAACCATCGAAAAAATAAGATGTGATTGTGAAACACTGATGCCCCCGTAATGCAACACAGTGAAAATTAAACTTTTCTTAGATGCAATGTTAATATAATAGTACCCAAGGTATGGTCTCCTACAACTGGAAATGCAATTATTAAACATGAAAGGCCTATCACCATCTGTTCCCAAGTTATGGACAGGCTTAAGTTATTCCATAAATATATAAATCTTCAAGATCAAGGTCAGAAGGTCAAGGTTATTGGTATCCAATGAAAGGTCTTTCCACAAAGATCACATGTCTGAAGTATGGAAACCATAGCCTTAACAATTCAAAAGTTATGGCCAAGGTTAAAAAGATTTTTATAGTACGTAATACTCCAAGATCAAGGTCCGAAGGTCAAGGTTATTCGTATTGAATGAAAGGACTTGTCACAAGAATAACATATGTGAAGTATGAAAGCCCTAGCCCTTACTCTTAAAAAGTTATTGCCAAGGTTAATGTTTTTTCATTAGTCCAGAAATCTCAAAGGTCAAGGTCAAAAGGTCAAAGTTTTTGGTATCCAATAAATGCTCTGGCTACAAAAAAATACATCTATGAAGTATTGAAGCTCTAGTCTTAACCGTGCAAAAGGTATGACCTAGGTTAAGATTTTTCAAAAGGAGGTCAAACTCTAATGTCAAGTTCAAAAGGTCAATGGTCTTGATATCAAATGAAAGGTCCTATCATAAGAATTCAATATGTAAAGTATGAATACACTGGCTCTTACCCTTAAAAAGTTTTGGTCAAGGTTTATTTTTTGTAAGTAGATCCAACTCCAAGGTCAAGGTAAAAAGGTCAAAGCTCCTGGGATCCGATGAAGCGTCTTTTTACAAGAATTTCATATTTGGAAAATGAAAGCGCTAACCCTTACCGTTCAAAAGTTATTGCCAAAGTTTAAATTCATCATTAGTGCATAAATCTCCAAGGTGAAGGTCAAAAGGTCAAGATTGGTGGTATCCAGTAAAAGGTCTTGCCACAAAAAAATATATACGTGGTGTCTATTGTTCAAAAGGTATGACCAAAGTAAAAATTAAAAAAATTGTGTAAAAATGGGTCAAATTCAAAGGTCAAGTCAAATGGTCAAATTTGGTGGTACCAAAAGAAAGGTCTTTTCACCAGAAATACACATGTGAAATATGAAAGTAACAGTTCCACTAAATCAAAAGTTATGGATAAGGTTAAAGTTTTTTGCTGGCAAACAGACAAACAGAAAGACAGAGAAACAGCTAAACAGATAGAGAGACAGACAGACGGACCCGACAAAAACTATATACTCCCGAAACTTCGTTTACGGGGGCATAATAATTTAATCACTTTATCATTAACATTGTTCATTTATTAAAAACATATCGATAACGAAATTACTTTCATTGCAATAAGACTCTATCCATCCATCATTACACCCTCGTGGACAATACCCATTTACTTTGGAGCAGTGTAATCCATCTGCGCAGTTTCCACTACAACTGTGCTTACAATATAATCCAAATGTACCGTTGTCACATTCTGATACAAAAACAAACAGGTAAAATTCGATTTTGTTTTGTAAGTGATAATGAAAGTTACAGAAAGTGGACATTAAAAAGGCACCTTCATCACATCTCTTTTCAGGTGTATGTTTCCATCCTGGCTCACAGTATCCATCAGGACAGGAACCATTAATGTGATCACATGTTGCGTTTTTTGTACAATGTCCACAGAGATGAGTACAATTTGTACCGTAAAAACCGTTTTTGCATTCTACAAAAAATGGAAGAAATAAATGTATTTTTTACAAAACTGTATTATTATCAAATAACTTAAACACTTCTTGAAATAACACAGTGTAACCAACTCTGTACTGAATAAAGTCCGGTCAGTCACGTGATAAATCTCAAGTATGTGTACTTAATGTAGGTCATTAACTAATTTCAATATCGCAAGGGCATATTCTTGTTAAAATTAAAAGTTTAAGCTATGATATGTTACTATAAACTTTGTAATTTCTGGAAAGTGCTGCTGCTTTGAAAAGGAATTATTGATTTATAAGTAGAAATTTCAAGTAAATAGGCTAATGTCGAAATATATTTGGCCTTTATCAAGTATTTTGTATACTTATATAGTCACGCTTTCGAATAAAAGAAAGAAGCAGCATTTTTTAAGTTAAGGAAAATGTCTTTTTTTTTTTTTTTTTTTTTGCAATAAATGGATAAGATCTATTGAGTGTATGCCCTTGCGAATAGGCGATTTAATAAGGCACCTCAATGTTAAACATGCCAAATATGTACACATAAACACGCTATAATTATTTGAATACACTTTCTCGATAGTTATTGAGTAACTGCACTCAACAAACGTTTTATATTGTAAAAGTAGTCTACCTAAAATCTGTAAGTAATATTATGTTTATTAATGGAATGTTTTTTTCAATGCGTAAAAATTACTTTATTTCCCTCTCACAGCAAATGAAATACTTAATATCCACAACATCCTTCCGATCTGTGATTTGTTAAAATCCTGTTATGTGGGATTTAACTAGCTACTATTTTTAATGCATTGAAAAGTATTAATTTTGTTTATAATGCTTAAAATTAAAAATTGCAAATTACTTCATTTCCCGGTATTACGAGGAAAATTATTTTGTGTGATGTCACAGTTAACTTTCCCCGTATAAATTAGGCCCGTCCCATTTTTTCAGCCTTAACAGAGCTGCAAAACGTTATTTGAAAGATATTGATCTTTTATCCGGGTAGGGGTATCATGTTTTTTTCTAATTTCAATTGAATTTTGACCCCGCCCCACTCTTTGTAGCTCATAAAGTATACATGCGCAGGTAGTACAATTTTCTCCTTTGGCTGGGCACTGTATTTTATTGAAATATACCTAAATATGTGAAATGAGAAAACTGCGCTTACATGCTATTTTATAAAAAAAAATTGTAAAATCTGGTTGGTCTTTCCCATTATGAACAGATCGACCAAACTTGATTTTCTAATGTATGAATTAATTCATTTGCTAAACGAGGCAATGGCGATACTTTCTAACTGACTAATCATCTGAATAAGATCAGTTACAAATGAGTATCAGAATAATACTAAGAAAATTTCATGCTTGGATAAAAGGCTTGGTTAACCATGTTTCTGATAATTTCTTTATGCATTTGAACAACAGATTATGCAATGCATAACTTTTTTTCAGACCTGAAATGTCTGTAGATTAACTACATGTACTTCTAGAGTGTGTTTTTATTTTCAAAATTTACCAATTGCAATTTAACTGGAATAATGACTTTAATCAAGATTTTTTTGTCTTTCAGTTCGATTAAAATTGTTAATTTCAAATTCAATAATTTAACATACATTCCCTGTAAGCACCAAAAATGTCACGAAAATGTTTGAAAACGACATCTCTCCAATTTTGATGGAAAGTGCACCACAGGTGAAATATTCATGTTTTTGTTTTGAAAAAAGGGTCAAAAATGACACAATTCAATGGATCTGTCTCCATGGCAACCAGATGTACATGTAAAACTTCTTTCACCATACATTTTGGTTTTTGTACCAAGGTGCACCTGTTTTGAAAATTTCATAAAAAATTAGAGAGATGTCTTTTCCGAGATTTTTTTTCAGAGTGGTTAACAGAGAATGAATTTTAATAATGATAATGCTATCAAAATTTTTGTCTCACATACGGGTCTCTGTAGATGAGATCATAAAGTACATGTGCAAAATTGATTTTAATGCTGTTCAAAGAGATGATAAATTCTGAATTGAAGGAATTGCAGATGGCAAAATTTTGCTTAACCTTATTTTCTTCGCAGAAGTTTTTTTTTTATAATAAGAAAAAAAAATCAGGATTGTCATTACATTAAATCTTCAAGGAAATTAAGAGTCAAAATCAGCAAGCATCGAGCATTTAGTTAAAAAATGTGGAAAGTGGCATAGAAACAGATTTGGTTAAAACTCATATATAAATTTTCAGAACAAAGGATATGATAGAAAAAAGCAAGCAAAAAGTAATTTTTCGCATTGTTGCTATTGAAACCACGCGCCTTTCATATAGCGTGTTTTGTACTTTATCATGACCATTAAATATATGGTTAAACAAATACTTTTTAATTACTAGTCATTAAAAAAGGCTTTTTAAATTATTATTTTATTTATATAAATATACTCTATTTTAGCAACTGTTGATTTTTGAAATTCTCTTCACCTTTTGATTTATATAACTAGTTTTTGGAGGTTTATTTTGTTTAAAAAACAGCAAATTTGAAGTACTTTATAAGAAATCTACAACCACATTAAAGCTTATCAACATAAGATATTTATTCAACAGTATTTCTTCTAGAAGAACCAAGAAAAAAATCTGTAGGCAACTAAAGCATTTATATATGATAACTGATTTAAATCCACAGTTTTCTGTAACTTTTGCTTCAAATTACCTCCCTTTGGTGTAGCTCTCTAACATAGGAGGAATAAACGGTAGTTTGCTTACAAGGTTTTCAATAACAATGTACAGAAGACTAGCAGAAAGTTACAAACTTGGAGCAGTCTGAGCCTCAGTTTTGGCGTTTTCATGAGTCCTAATTACGGTGATTGATTGAAATTTTTACAATTTACCATTACAACAGTTACTGAAGAATGTATAGCATAAATTAACCATGCAATAAAATATCTAACACTTGGCAAGTGTTTTTGCACATTTTAATTTAATTCTGATTAATTATGTAAGCATTACTTTAATATTTTATAACAAAAAAGAAAAGATTATGCATGGCCTGAGGAACCAGGTAGAGGGGGGTATCCCCCCACAAATAAATATAGCCGATATTAAACTATAATATGAGCAAATGAAAGTAAATCCCCCAACTTAGATTGTATCTACGGGCCTAACGTGAATAAGTTGGTCATTATCAGTCACATAACTTTATCCCAAATTATAAAGTTTAATTTGAATTTTGTTTAATTTTAATTTGTTGTATTCACGGTATGTATGTACTAGCCATAGTTACTCACCAGCTATAATAAATTTAACTTTATTGATGGTCGGGTAAATAAAAATTTTGTATATAATAGTAGATATCTTTATTTAATATTTAAGATAATACATGAAAACACATGAATTTATGAAAACCAAAACTATGAAACGGAATGACCTTTGTTGTGGCGTCCGTAAAAAAGAAAAAGAAAAGGGGGCAGGGGGTTAACTCTGTACTTAATATATTTCAGTTTAGGAAAGGGGATTACCTTGGAAGTATTGTCATACAGACAAATGTATTATGTACTGTAGTGGATTAGTGGTAACTGAATTGTATATGTACCACAGTAAAATAATTAATTAAAAAAAAACTTTTTAAAGCTGTTGTCATCCAGTGTTTACTTATAAAAGAAAATTCATATTCAGCTAGCATTTTCTCCGTACCACTGAACTAATTTAAGTCAACTGGGTTCAAATAATAAGCATCATGCATTAGATTTAAAGCACGTAAATTTATGAAATGAATATCTATACTCCATCTTTTTTTCTTGAAGAGGGATGTGGGTTATTGGAAAGAAATGAAAAGTATGATTTAGAGTTTTGACAAAACCTAGAACCAATTGACCTTTTTATTGCAAGTTTTTAAATTTAAAGAATATCTAAAATCAATGTGCCATTATCTCAACTTTGTGTTGTATCCTTTTTTTAGAATGAAATTCGACACTTTGAAGCCAAACTCGGAAAGAAGCGGAAACAGAATTGGATGAGCTGATATAGAATTAGACAGGAAAAACATGTAAATAATACATTTAGTAAAAACGTTAACTTTTTAAAATAAAATGATAAACCATTGAGATTTCTAGGAATGTAGTTGATTCCAATAAACATGCTTTGCATTCATCATAATTCCCCAAGCTCAACTAGAAATGGTTCTAAGTATACTATATGACGGTAAAGCTGTATAATAATATTTTTATATTTTAATTTTATCACTTTTTTTCAGATTATGGGAATACATTATTACAGTACAGACCATTGATGCTAGAAGTGAGTGGATAGTGTTACCGGAGACTCAGGGATCCAGAAAATAGATCCATAAATTGTACAGTGTATTCATGAAAGTGGATAAAAAAATGTTCAATCCAAGAGTAACATTCTTTGTCTGTTAGCATTTTTTATTGATGTAAATCTAATAACTATCAATTTTTAGCATTCAGATTCATAATCATTAGATAGTAGAAGAATCTGAAACATATCTTTATATTCTGCATTTTGAAGTATCATAATTAAAACAAGGTCAATATTAAATGATCAATCAATTAATTTCAAAACTGACATAATGTTTTTGTGAGAAAAAAGAAAGAGCGCTTATTTATATATTGTTCCTAATGTACCACTAATGTTGGTGTGAGTGAAATAAAAATGATGATGATGATGAACTTGTTTAAAGTCTGACGACACGTTCCTCAAATTCATGTCTTGTATCTCTAGGTATTATATATGTAATAGGAAGGGAGAAAATTCATGGCCGGACCGGGAATCGAACCCGGGACCCCTGAATCTCTAGTCAGGTGCTCTACCATCTGAGCTATCCAAGGCAATATCCATGGCCCAAACCATTACTTTCCTCCCTCCTTAAATGGTCTTTACCCTCGAAGACACAAGCAAAGTTCTTATTACCCCCTGGCAGGACTTTCACCTGCAATTCCAGGGGTGGTCAACGGCACCAAATCTGTAACAGGAAAGGAGAAAATGTATGGCTGGACCAAGAATCGAACCCAGGACCCCTGTATCTCCAGTCAGGTGTTCTACCAACTGAGCTATCCAGGCCGATAACCATTACATATATATATGTGTGAAATATTCATATTTGTCATTCTCTTCTGATTTCTACATTGTTTTCAAAATGCTTTTTTTAATATAAGTACATTTGTACAACCAAAATTTTGATATATGCCATTTAAAGGATTTGCCCATTAGGGTTATTAATGAATATCTTTTAGGGTCAGTTCAAGTTTAGATATTCATATATATATATATATATATATATATATATATATATATATATATATATATATATATATATATATATATATCCCTTCAATGTGGGTTAACATCAGGTTATGTTGAGAAAAAGTTGGGTGGGGAATCCCCCCTAACCAACCCAACCCTGCTGTTACATGCCTGATTGATATGGTTTACTTTAAAATTATGTGAGCTTCATAGTGACTCTTTCATAAACTAGAATTATTGTGAGCAAGCTCATAAAATGATACCCACCCTCATGCTATTTCATTAAATGTTTTTTTTATTTCAAAAAAGGTCCAAATATTGATTTAAAACCTTTTTAATATTTTACTAGTGCAGATATACATACCAAAAATGACTATGACATACATGTATACTCAAGTCATAGGTAGTAAAACCGTTGTATTGAGCACAAACTTCCAATTTCTCTTCATTCGAAGTTAAATATGTAAATGTGACAAACTCATATAGTACACTTTTACTGCAATGACCTTGAAAAAGCTATGTCCTTGAGTCAAGGTCAAACATGTCCAAATGAACTTTGTTCAAGGTCATGACAAACCCACAGCTCAAAAATAATCCCCGAGATGAAACTTCAAGTCTTTTCATTAGAATGTTACAGAATGGGCAAAGATTGCACTATTCTTCTACCATGACCTTGAACTTGTTCAAATGACCTTGGTTAAAGTTTTTGGCACATCTCTAGATCACAAGCAATCTTAATATCAAGTATGAACTTTCAGTTGCATTTGCATCCCTTCAAAAAAAAGCTTATTATTGCCAGATTTTCACACATTTTAAACCATTTGTAACTTTTTTCTACTAAAGTTGCCTGCAAATTTTATTGTATAGATATGACATATATATAACCCCTAACAAGATCACATCTTTCATTTTTCCAGCAATGGTTGTAGATTTTGTGTATATAGTGATAAACATATGTAATTTTCTTCCAAATTTATAAGCATTGACGCCATGTTCTTTTCCCGTTGTCGTGGCAACAATATCACTAAAGACATTTTGTTTTTCCTTTTTTTGGAGAATAAAGTAATTCCATCTTTTAACAAATAAAGTAACCCAAATACCTTATCTTATCACGTTCAGAAAATATATTTATAGAAAAATGTCTAAAAATCATTGATTTTTATAAGGATTTATGAACCCGTTGCTAAGAAAATGAATTTCCTTGGATACCAGTCCCTTCATACGTTCGAAAAAAAAATTTGTGTTTTAGCATTAGGTAGGACAAAATCTTTCATATACTAAAAGCTTTTGAAAAAATAAAATTTTGACTTTCCATTCAATGCTCGATGCTTGCTGATTTTGACTCTTAAATACAGATGAAAATCAAATAATTGCACCAATTATTAAGGAAAAGTAACAATTTTTTTAACAACACAATTTCCATTCAAATAATTTTAAATGCTTTTCTGACAAGCAACATGGAAAGCAATTCCATAATAGAAAAATAATGCTTGAATTTATTAGTACCAACATTTCTAAAATAAAAATTAAGATCAATAAAAGAAGAAAAAATTTTCGTGGAGTATCAAATGCATCTAGGCATATTATCATTTTTTGCATAAAGTATATGTAGCTTAGAAATTGAAAGATGTAAAATGATGGATCAACAGGTTCCTCTGCTCTGCTTGAAATGTAATACTAAATATGTAATAATTAATCATAAAGCAAAAAAAAAAAGAAAAATAATAATAATAATAATCCTCCGTTCAATGTTATACAAAGAAAAATATTTCCCTTCTCTAAAAGTCAATATTTACACAATTGAAAGTTTGATGAATGTAGGAAATTATTAAGAAAAAAACATTTTAGATCATATTTTTATTTTGTCATTTAAGAAATAAGATATCATTTTTAGAGTTGCATTGGGGTATGACATGAAGTCGGTCACATGATCAAATTCTATAACGCCCGAAGGGCATTATAGTGGATTTGATCACGTACCGACTTCATGTCATACCCCAATGAAACTCTAAAAAAATTATATTTTATTTCAAATATTTATATTTTACGTTTTCGTTCATTTTACAAACAAATATAGGCATTATTTAGACTTAGATTTTGAAATGCAACGTAACGTTACTTCGACGTTATGTGACGTCACAGTCGAAACTTTCCAAATTGCACGTGCAGTTTGCTTTCCATACGCAAGAAAGTCTGATCATGTGACCCACTGCATGTCATCGAAAATTGAATGTCATTTTTTTAGTATTGCCATATAAGGAAAGACATTGGCAAATGTAAATATTTAGTTTTTAATCATTTGAAATTATACTTCATAGAGAATTGTCTATGTCGACCAAGAATTTCAACATCAGATATAAAGACTACTAACTATTTTGACATTCTTCTCCCTGATATCCGGGTTCACAAAATCCGTGACAGGATCCATTTATGTGATCACATGTTTTGTTGTTTTCACATTTACCACATATTTCTTGACAATTATGTCCAAAGTGCCCGTGACTGCATGCTGTAAATTTAAAAAAGAAAAGACACAAAAGGATCAATGCAAGGGATTATGAATCTCTAAAACAGGTCCTTACTACAGTGGTGTTCAATGATAACCTGGGTTCTCCATCATTTCATATTTAACTGTGGCGCAAGAATTGCAATAAGTACTGATATTCGCGTCAATTTCGCGACAAATTCATGAAGGAATCCCGAATTTAACTGAAAAAAAAAACGTGTTAATTGTACACCTATGAATCAATATTCAAATACAAATGCTAGCAGCTAGTATTTGGCATAATGTATGATGAATTTAAGAATAATAATTAAA